AGTGTTCCGTAGACGATAAACATTCGCTCCGCGTCTTACAAAGTTTTGAGTATCTTTTTCAGACTTCTGCCGAAACGCTGTTTATTTTTTATTATTAATCCTTAATTTCTATGAAAATTATTTTTAAATAAAGCAGTATTTTCTCAATGTAATGGGCGCCTAATTTCTTCTTTCCTTCCATCTTACTTATATTCGCTCAGTCGAGTAACGCAATAGCTTTGTCAAAACAGTCAAACTTTTTTGTTCGAGTTGCTTAAAACCGTTTATGCCATGTTGAAAAGCATAGTCGAACACTTAGCCAAATGTGTCTGTGTCGAATTTTGAACTCGGTTAAACGATCTTTCAGAGCATCTTAATAGCACCTCTCAGAAACCCTATTCACTGCTCAGCCTGTGTCACTGCTCAGTATCCAGAAAAGTTGAAAGAGGCGGTTCAAAAGTTTTATGTTCGTGATGATATTTCTTACCAGTTGCCGGGAAAGCGAGATACGATTGTTGTGAAGGATGATCAGGGGAAAAAAACTGCATATCAAAAGCGAATTTTATTCAGTAGTTTGCGTGAAATTTTCGAATTGTTTAGAGAGGAAAATAAGGGAGTTGATTTCAGTCGGTCGTCGTTCGCAGAGTTGCGTGCACCATTTGTTGTTCCAAAAGCAGCTTTGAGAAGACGCTATACATTTCGGCCGTTTCCTGCAGAAAGAATTATTTTATTTCTTCATTTTAATCGGATCTACGTTACCTTGCAGTGGCAAAAGTCATGCTTTAATACTTTTTTTATCAAATAGTATTGATCTTTTTGTTGAGCATTTGATTATTTGATCACAAGTTCTATAAAAACAGCATCAGATACCACCACAAGCCTTATTATAAAAAAGCTATATGCTATCACATCCAGATAGTGATGTATGTGATATAGAAAACTGTGTTAACCAGACCTGATACCATTATCGAACAAGTAAAAGTGTTCCATTGTCTTTATAGTATTTTTATGTTGTTAGTTAAACTCGTTTTAATTATAAGTATTTCTTAAAAAGATTCAATACTGAAGTAATTAAACGCGTTAAATTATAAAATTTTTGACAAACAGAAAGTTGCATGAACCCCCGATCATTATAGATAAGAGAGCATATGGGTGAATTATCAGCTCTCTAGAAGGATGAAAAAATATGGAAAACGCATTAAACTAAACTTTTTTTTGTGTAAATATCGACAATGATGAACATTTTTTGTTGGATCACTATAACACAAAAAAGGAATTATATGCAGTTTTCTATTTTGATTTGTTGTTCAAATGTTCGATTTATGTTCAATAATTTCTATTATAATTGACGATATTATTTGTAATATGGAAAAGAATGAAACAATAAGTCGAAGATTAGTATTCCAAAATAATCGTCAACTCAAACTAGAGTTGAAGCACGCCACATATTTATATATAATAATACTTATTCCTAATATTTGTGAAAAATATATCTTTTTTAGTTCTGTTGCTGTTTCGAAAGGAAAAGTATACATTTCTTAAATCTAAACAAGAAAAATATCATAAAAAAACTCATGCTATTATATTTGAATAGTGTGAGAAATAAAATCATATGCAGGCATATAAAAACTATTTAAAAGACTTTTCAACATTAAAGATCAATAGTGAAAATAAGCACTTAATATTTACACTTAACACAAAACTTCATAATGTTCATCAATCCTTTGCGCACAACGTTTTTTCCGATTTCATGTACAGAAGAACTTTCTCGAAATGCGATTTCATGTGAAACTTTTTACTCATGCGAAAAGTTATGAGTGAAATGCTTCTAACTGCACAACGTGGTAAATGACAATAAAAGGCATCAAATGAATACACTGCTATCCTTTTCAAACTATAAGAGCGCTGGTTGTTCTTTGAATAACTTTTGAACAAAACATGATAGAGACTTGAGTTTTAGCCACCATTAGCCAACATTTTGTAACATCTTTTCATACGCCATGAAGGTTTGAAATCGTCTTCATTCAATCATCTTTTTCATAAATGAACTTTTGAATATAGACGGTTGGTTGATGGTTGGATTATTTCTAGTACTATGGGCTAATTTTACATGGAAATTCTGAATCTGATGAAAAAAATAAAATTAATTATATCAATTAATATCCCGGTCTCTAGCAGTGTCTTAAATATGCTTTTGTAAGGTGCCGGCAATGCGAAAATCGAACAGAATTTGTTTCTTCGGTATTTTTGGTATGGCTGTATCGATCTCATGGAGTTGAATAGGAAAGGATCAAGTTTAGATTTTTAAAACTTATTTTGGGAAGAAAAACTTAAGAAGACTGCTTTTCGGCCTGTCCAAACGTAACGGCGTCAAAATTTTGACACACTAAATTACAGTTTTCTCGAAAACGAAAAGACTTAGCGAACTAATTCTTTCGTTATCCGATGTGTCACCAAAAGCTGCATCTGCGATAAAAAAACGGAATTTTTCTATCACTAGCTCAATTAATTAGAACGATTTTTATAGAGCGTAACGGCGTCAAAGAAAAGGCCCTAAACTTTTAGTCTTTCATATTAAACTGGCGATTCTTCTGAAGTTATTGGTGCAATAACAAACTCGTTTTGGCAGATCTTGTAGAGTTTTGTATCCGGAGGAGAACAGACTTCGCCCGATTTCTTTGCTGCCGAATTTAGGTAAATGGTTTGAACGAATAATTCATTAGAGAACATTAAAATAGAGCAAAGAAAATAATATATACGTTGACGAGCAGTCTGGTTTCACTCCGGAAAGACGTCTTCAAACTCGGATATTATCGATATGCGAAGAACTTAGGCTAACTGTTGCCCCAAGCATGAATTCGTAAGCGAAAAAATCTAGATACACTTGCTGGGGTATCGGACGATACCCCAGCAAAAGTATCTAGATAAAAGAGTAAAAAATATCGAGTTATCTAGATGCATCGGGTTTTACTCGATTACACGATGCAATATCCGATGCATCTAGTAAGAAATTATGGTTGATAGAAAACAATAAGAACTACCCAGGTCGGACATAACGGTCCGTAAACAACAGTAAGCGATTGAAAAACGGTGTATTCACAGGTTATCGTATACGAATATCCGTTTACCGTATACTTGCGGTGAAATACGGGGCGTTTTACTGGATCGTTTACATAGTGCCGTATACGAGCCCGTAACGGGGACGGTATACATTCCGTTTTTATGTCATTTTGTAAAAAGTGTCAAAATCTATGTCTGTACACTGTCGTATGATGTAATCCATATTTATTTTAACTTTTTGTCAAAAATCAGCCGCAAGAACTGTGTCGTAAGCACTGAACAGCGTCTTTCGATAATTATTTGTTTTTGACTTCCTGGTTTCTTATTGGTCTACACTAAGTCTCGGATCGACCAAGGCCTATAGGCAAGGGATTGAGCCCACGTTCACACTACAGATTTTCCAGTTTTTTTAGAAGCGCAAATACCATAAAGTTAAGCCACCAATGGAAGCACCATCTAATTGTAAGAAATTGCCATGCACTAGCACAAATGCACCGCGTTTCTATTATCAACTGGTAGCAAGTTTCACATAGTAAAAGCACACGTATTTAATTGAAAGCTCACATAAGTCAGTCGAAACTAAAACACATCACATGTGTGGCTCGTGGCGACCTAGCTATCTACTCAATACACTTGTGCATACGATAAGTTATACAGTTATAAAGTTAAGCGCGTTAGGTGTAACCTAACTTTCCATCCAATCAGCATCTTTGACACAAACTTAAGTTGTGTACTGTGAAATAATCAGAAAATAAAGAACCTCCTTGGTTGAGTTTTTTGAGACTAAATATCGGTGTTTTTGCACTGATTTGTGACGATATAGACTTCTTTTAGCTAGAATCAAGTTATTCCAGTTAAGCTAAGCTTATCTGACCAATCTAAAGCGTATTTACTCAGGTCAGAGAATCTTATAATAGGATCATATGGGAACTTGTAAGATCCTGTCAGATCCTAAAATAAGACCTTGTCTGATCCTATATGATCCTATGAAATCATATAGGATCTTACAGGAACACGTCTGCCATCTTAAAGCAAGAAATGACCTAGGATTCCTATGAGATCCTACAATAGGGACTCATAAGATCATATAAGGTCCTATATAATCTTATTATATGATCAGCAGGATATGACATGGTTTATCCTACTAAGTTTATTATTCTCATTTGTTCAATTATTCTCTGATCCCAGATCGACAGAATTAGATGATTCTAAGCTGGAATAAGCCCAAGACTTGTGAGTACTTGCTCACACGTCGTCGAACAGTATAGTGAGTTTCGATGGCTCACAGAATTTTGCAATTTTGAACCTAAAAGAAGTTTCCTTTGCTACAGTATAGTTGTATTTATATTATAGTTGCTACAAAACACGTCGGTGATTGTGTTCTCGTATAGAAAAAAGAAAAAAATATATATACGAAACGAAAAAATAGGAATCCCACAAAATCTTACCGTAGGATTTTGTAAGAAATGCATAAGATTCCAATTTATAATCCTATATTAATCCTATAGGATTTTTGCTACCGTTCTATACCAAGAATCCTATGGAATTCTTGCTGTAGGATTTGATAGGATCCTACAGTAGGAATCCTATCAAATCCTATTATCAGTAGGATCCTGTAGGATCTTGTACAAACCTAGTAGGATTGTTTGATCTCGGTAGCTCAGTTTTCTGTCACTGAGAGCTCAGATTTCGTTTTTTTAATATCTTTTCTGCACTCATTGAAACTACTTTGCCTTATTGTTCTCTCGCCCCTACTCTTTCTGTGATCTGTTTTCAACCTCGTCTTGTCCCTCTCAATGCTCATCTTTCGTCTAGCTGCGCTCTGTTTTAGCCTGCTTGCAGCTATCTTGTGCTCTGTAAGCTTCGTTTTCTGTTTTTTTCTTTAAACAGGGAGACTTAACTTTTTCTTAATCTATGTATTTGTTTTTTATCTTTTTTATATAATTTTTGAATTTGTAAAAATGCATCCAGTTGAATTGGAACATGTTATTAGTACTGGAGGGCAAAAAAGACGAAAAAAATATAACAAAAAAAATGCCTACCGTCGAAATCAACGTTTAGAAAGAAATACACTACTTTATCCTGATCTAAAACGAATAGCAACACAACATGAACAACAGATAACAGTAGAACAACAAGAAGACGAAGATCTAGATTATGTTGTTGTCTATGATGATCATCAATCCAGCAATGATAACAACAATCATCAGATGGAAGATGAAGTGAGAGGTCAACGACAGGAAGAGGAAAACGATTATTACGAATTGTACAATTACTGATGAAAACGCACGTACTGATGAAAATACAGAACCGATTGAAAACATACAATCTGACGATGATCCACCTCCCCCGGAACAAGCACGTTTACATAGTTATACAAACATGTTAATACATGACTATTGTGGAAATGTAGCAACCCTATTGCGTCGAGCTAATTTGTGTAAAACACACACAAATAGTCTATTATCAATCATCAAATCCGGATTACCCGTTCCGAACAACATGCCGTTAACAGAAGACGAACTGTTAACATTCCTTAACGTGAAAGAATTATTCACAAAACGATGTGTGTGTTTACTATGTAATCGTCACCTGCATTATAAACAGAAACAATGTCCAGAATGTCGTTCATCGGATAAAACCTCAATTGCCACTGTATGATGTCGATGTGAAAAAAATATTAAAACAAATTATAAGTAGATTATCGTCGAATATTAATGAATACAAACAAAAAATAAGCAACAATGACGATGAACAAAAAACAAATGATATTCCGTTTGGTACTTTGTATCAAACATTATTGGAAAACAATCGTAATCAAAATATCATCAGCTTGTTGTTGCATCTAGATGGGGTAGGATTAACACAATCAACGAGAATGAAGATGTGGATGTTCAGCGGGTCAGTCGTCGAACTACCTGCAAAACTTCGTTACCGAGGATACAGTATGATTTTAATGTCGATATGGGTGGGTTACACAGAACCACAACCACATTTATGGCTAAAAACGATCATCAATGAACTGGATCACATTAAAAAACAAGGTATTTATCGGCAACCGTAGGTATCGGCCCGAAAAGATGTCCGTGAGAGACTTGTACATGCATTCCCTACTTTTTAGCCTTTTTGTTCTTTTCTTTTTTCGTCCTCTGCGAGATCTTTGAATTTAGCTTTCGACTGACTATTACTTTTAGAAGTCCGAGGTGAAACTGGCTTGAGAAAATAACGTACACAAAACTGAAAATGAGCATTCTTCCATTCTCTATGCTTTTCCTCACCTCAGCGTTTCTTCTGTCACAACTATAATTCAGCAAGGATTGTTTTTTTCTATATTGTAGACACTATTATTAAAAAGATTGATTACCGGTTGAAAATATATGGGATCACCGGAGATTGCCCAGCATTGAAACTGATTTTAAATTTTACTGGTCATGGGCGCTATTACTGTTGTTGGTTTTGTTATTTGAAAGGTGAACATATCGGTGGCAAGCGTCAATATCGTCATGAACAAGAAGTAACCATGAACCAGGAACAAGAAGTAACCATGAATGGGCCCTATGATCAATCATCTACATCGGCAAGTGGTTGCAATCAGATGGACAAAATTCATTCTTTACTGTGTGCTTGCGATCAATTGAATTCTTGTTGTGTTATCTATCGTCGATTCATCATTCATGATCAAATGTTTCATTCGTTAAACTATCATAAACGACAAAATTCCGTTAGTTATTTTGTCCAATATTTGTTCGCTAACGATGTCGAAGATCGTCGATTCGGTAGTATTGAATTATTTTTTACTTGTAACAATCTCGATTATGCTATTATTAAACACTATCGTATTAAACGGTTATACAGCGATTATTTAGCACAATCTCGTTATTATCGTTTACTGAAAAAGCCGTTAGATTCTCTATTTTTTATTTTAGAGAAAGATCATTGTCAAATCGATGTTGTTAAAACTGATTTTATTTTAAATCATTGTATTGTCGTGAAAAAGGATGACTATCTTTTTGTTACAGTTGTTTCGTCATACGATGAGCATGACTGAATGTTTTGTTTATCGAAAAAAACTGTTTTCTGTATTTATTTGGTTTCTTTTACTGTGTAACTTTACACTTGTCTTTTTACTTCGACATAATTCATCGTTTATATAAAAGAGAAGATTCTCTGTCTATATCTTTCTTTTACTATTTGCCTTCTCCTATTTCTGTTTTCCTGCGTATTCAGTTGAGGTTTGTTTATTTTCTGTGTTTCAGATAACTAGTGTTTATTGTTATACATTTACAATGGCAAACAAAAGTACCCAACAATCAAGCAAAGGAAGATCAATAAAACCAAAACCCACTTATTCACCGTCAGATCCTATCACATCAACGAAACAGTATTTGATTAATTATGATGATACAAGAAGTTATAGCATCGCTGGAAATTCAGGTATAAAAAGAATTACAAATGATGGTAAAGTCGTGCTGAATAATGGTCGTACAGCAAAATTAATTATGTCAGGTAAGAGCTGGATTTAAACTATATTTGTTCGAAAATAATAAAACTAACACAGAACCAGACTAAACCGACAGAGTCATTATAGAGTTGATTGTGGTAAGAGTTTGCTTATCCGTTTTTTGAAGGAGCATCATTCAACCATAAATAGCTGTACTTTTATTCAATTTAGGTACAAAAGATGAATGTGAAGAAGAATGGATGAGTCAAACACAATCACCACAAGGTAAGGATTTTTCATCATACTCTCTTTCTACGTTTATTTTCCTCTTTTGATTTTAGATGATGCCGATGCGGATCAAGATGATGACAATATCGACAGATCATCACAACAAATGTTACAAATGCCATCAAATACCTCTCGAACACGTATGTATTCGCGTGATGCATAACTAATAAATAAAAGAAGGAAGAGAAAATCAAGATTAAGTTGAGATTATAATGAACTTCCTTACAAGACATGAATGCATAACTAGTGTTGTCACATAATCTTTTTACCTTTTTTTATTTAGCTGCTCCTTTTCGACGTCGAATAACATTAACAAATAATCGTCCTGGTTCGCTGACTCGTTCACTTATTTCGGGTATGTCTCTGTTACTTTAGATCTTGTTTAATCTTTAACATTGTCGTTCTGTTTTCCATTTTGACTTATGTTTTAGTTTCATCAAGACGTTCGACAGATCAAAATCGTTCAACATTTACAATGACACGTAACGATCGTGTCAATGGTCCAGCTGGCAGTCTGAATCCAACACGTACAAACATAGGTACGTAGTACTGTCTACCATGTTATGTCTGTCTAACATGGTTTCCTCTAGTCTCTGCTATTCTTGATTTTTTTTATAGGATCAGACGAAGGAGAAGATATGGATACAAGTGACAATGTTCCACTGAGCCGTTTGTTCCAAGAATTATAAAATGTAAGAGCAGAAAATCGTGGCATCTATCACCAAATGACAAAATTAACTCAAAAACTCTGTCATCTTGGTTCATCTGCTTCATTTGTAAGTACCTGTGGCTCCTTCTCTGTTTAAGGGAGGGCCGCCCCTACTCGGTTTTTCCTATCAGTGTGTAGAGGACACTTTGAAGTTTATATTTCAAAACTTTTTTCGGGTAACGGACCTATAGTTTTTGAGAAAATAATTTTTTAAGTTTAGTCTCGGTTTTTTGCTGCATTTATAAAATTTTAACAAAAATTTTCATATTTCTACAACATATAACCTCGGTTCTAATGTCAATCGATAGAGGACATCAAGATGTATCTATAAAAAATTCGGTCAAGTTTTGACTGAGTTATTCCGCTTTGACCTGCCCGACGGCTGTTTGGAGCAAGAAGTATTTTCAAAAACACCTTGAACTAAATTTCGCTCGAAGGAAGCATTACCAAGGAAAAGTGTGGGTACGAAAGTTGTTCAGAATCAGATTCTCTGTAATGTGACTGAAGGATTTTTCAAAAATCATTAAACTCGATTTTTAAATTGAAAAATCCGGTTGTTAAAATTTTAAAATATAGTAAAATTTAATTTAAAAGTCCAGTTTAATGAATTTTGGAAAATCCTTCGTTCACATTACAGAGAATCTGATTCTGAACAACTTTCGTATCCACACTATTTCTTGAAAATGCTTCCTTCGAGCGGAATTTGGTTAAAGGTGTTGTGAAACTATTTTCAGTTAGCTAAAAATTAGAGAAATTTTCTTAGTTTTCAATTTTTTTGTTAAAGTCTCCCGGTTTGTAGAGGGCACTTCGAAGTATATGTTCTGAAGTTTTTTCGGCTTACTGACATTGTTTAGCTGAGAAAAAAATTAATTACTTAAAAAAATTT